TGGGATAGAAAGCAAGCTATATTATATTCAAACTTAAGTAAGGGAGTTGAAAATGAGTTCATTGGTCATACAAGAACTTCACCACTTCCTAACCCTAAATACTATAAATTAACTGGCTTCAATCGTGAGTTTTGGATAGACATGTTCTCCACTCATGACCATAAATGTCCAGTGTTCTTGCCTCCAGATAAGGACTGTCTCTACATTGAAGCACAACTCTTAAACTCTACCATCGCAGTATTGTAAAATCTACGCTAGCTTTATTTTTATCACGAATGACCTCATTGCTGACAAAAATAAATGACCTCAGAACTTCAACTTACGAATAAAGCTTGTTTTAGTCGTTATTGAAAAGTTGAACTTTTCAGCAAAGCAAGGTTGACATGACTTACATAAGTCGAATGCAATCTCTTGACCATCATAAAGTGCTTTGTAAAGTTTCATTAAACTGAACTCAGAGTCTTTGTCATATGTTCCAACAGGTATGTGAATGTTCTTATCTTCATTGTAATAGCATTGTATAGCTTCAGGAAACATTTCATTAGCGGTTAAAGCAATAACATCTTGCTTCACGCCTTTCATTCTGCAGTGAAATGCAACTTCATTTAAATCGTTAGTGAGTAAGTCTATGTAGGTCTTCTTTCCACAGAAAATACTTTTATAAGCTAAACTTTGTTTTCCAGGTGTTATTTCTGCAAAGTCGCTATGAAATTGACCAAGGTTCTTTCCTATAAGTTCGCGACCATATCTCTTCTTAAACTCTGCTGCAAGCTTTGGGATGTCTTCATTATATAAGTGCATACTGTCGGTATCCTGGTAAAATTTGAAGTCCCATGTCCTCTGCAGTACAGAATACTTCATTCATAATACGTTTTGACATAGACAGAATATTAACACCAAGTGGACAGAAGTTAAAGTGTCTGCAAATGCTTTTCGTTAGCTTGAAAATAGTTTTATCTGAACCATCCAAACCTTCGAACTTCACTATATGGTTGTAATTTCTTATAGCATATCTTATAGCATCTTTGTCATTTACTATGGTTATTTTTGACTCAATAGGAGATAGAATAGTTTTGCCATAAATGCTGTTCAGAATGAGTTTTATAATTTCTTGTAAGGGGTTTCTTCTTTCTTATACTTTAACCTTAACTCAAACAACTTCTTTACTTCATCTCTTATTCTCATATCTCTGTTTCCATCGTAATAGTATCCTTGCAACACTTCACATTTGACACCTTGATATTTTATGAGGTCTTGTAATGTTATATGGTCAACATACATGAGACAGCAAGTGTTTGAACTTCTTGGAACGTTAAGTTCTGGATTTAGTTCAGGGTCGCAAACTATTAAATGAAAGTGTCTGGGTATACCAATCTCTGTTATCTTAATGAGAACAAAGAAGCCAGACATAAACTTTTCACCAATGGGTTCCTTTTGGTCATCATCGAATAAATGTCTCATGAGATACTCTGTGCTTAACATCTCATCCTTCAATACTTTTGGAATTCCTTCTAAAGTATAAAGTCTTGCTATAGCTGAAGGATATAATGAAACAGTGTCGAAGTCAGCAATGAGTTTCTTTTTGCTCTTTTGTTTCATGTTATCTGACAACATACATCTTCCACCTTGAATGCATCTCGAAATAAATTCTCTTGGTTTATTTGAGAGGTCATAAAGATTTCCATTCGGGAAGTATACTCTGTTCTCAAACAATTTGTTAGCAATAGAACAAATACTAACGTAGTCATAAACGTTTAAATCAAACTCTTTCAATAAGTCATTGCGGAACTTTACAAAACCTTCTCTTAAAATTCTTACATCTTGTTTGCAGTAAAACGTGCTATATTTTTCTAAGTCGAAGTGGTTTTCATCTATTCTGCAACCTTTGATGGAATCTATGTTCTTCATAAATGTATCTGCATCATGGATAAACTTACATGCTTCAGAAATGACACCAGTTCTGTTGTCATTTGCTAACAAAACACTGCTGTAGTAGTTATATGGAAATACTTCTTTCGGTCCTGTTTGTAAGTTAAACATAGCAGGAAATAGTTTAAGCTTCTTATTTATAACACTGTAAGAGTCTTTTATAATAATTGCCCGTCCTTTATATAAGCCAGTTATTTGCATTGTTCGTGAACCTTTAATGATGGGAGTTCCTTTCACTTCTGTCATGTGTCTTAAGATGAAGTTTATGTCATAACTGAGGTTGTGGAAATATATTAAACTCTTGTCAGGAAGTCTTTCCAAAAATTCTGTTGCACAGTTTTGACCCCAAATGCTTTCACTCACTGAACCATCTTCACTGTCATAACAGATGTTAAAAGCTTTATGAAAGCCATCCGTACTACACTCAAAGTCAGCAAAGAAAACGTGCTCAGGAATGAATTTACATTTAGCTTTATTTACTTCTTTTGACTCTGCTTTCTTCTTCAGTTGTACACAATACTTTGGAGCATATGTCAAATCTTTAAATGGTGCAAGGTTCTGTTTATATAAGTCAGTAGTATATGTGAAAAGTTCTCCATAAGAAATAGGTTCGAAATATTTGCACTCCCACAATGTTTTCATAACATCCCATAACGGTGTTGTTCTATCATAACGAACTACATATTTATCTCTCTCTTTGTATAAATCTTCATCTGTTTCTCAATGTTCATTCCACCACAAGCTTTGAGAATTTCTTTATAGTTTCGAATGAAGTATGTTGTCATTGGTAATCTTTCATTTAGCATGTAGTGGTCTTCAACAAGAAGTAAGTCAATAGTTCTAACAGTTTCGCATTCTTTTGGTATATATCTCTTTATTTCATTATGTCTTGAGTCATTGAAATAACCAATGGTAACATTAAATGCTATACCTGTTGCGTCAGAAATTTCTTGTACTTTACTTTGAGGAAAGTCTCTAACACGAATGACTTCTCTCATGTGGTCAATAGTTTCTTCATTTACTCCAGCCTGAATGCAAGCATAAACGAAACAATTGTCCTCTGTCATAAGTGTTGCAGTTCTTTTGTTCAGTTCATTGAAGATTTGGTAGCGTTCAAGATTTATAGGTAATGTGCAAAGATACTTCCAGAACTGACCGCTTCTCTTCTTATAAAACTTCTTTTCACCATTATCTTTCCAAAAGCTTTCTATAAGTGCTGGGTTTCCTGTTTGCTTAAGAGCTTCCAAAATGGCTTTCTGGTCATTTGTCAGTGTGCTTTCATCTCTATATGGTCTCTTTTTTGGTTTGCCTTTCTTTACATCTGACATCGTTAAGCCTTCATATTCTGTTAAATCATACATCTTTATTTCGGTAAGATTCTTTATGTTTGTCAAGAAGAAGTCATAGTGCATTTCAACAATACCTGCAGCATTTGCTTCTATCTCTGATATAAAGTTCTCCTTCAAGAGCTGATGTAGTAATGTTCCAATATTATTGAGGTTTAACGTAGAACATTCATACTTTCCACCAAGTTTATAACATACCATCCATCTTTTGTGAGTTTATTTTAATTTTCTCTAAGAGTCTCATGAAAACCTTACCGAAATGTTTGTGTAAGTAGTCTCTGTTTGGTTCATCTAAAGCTTCGATGTTAAAGTCAATGAGTCTATTGCCTGACTTCACATTTCTCTTCCTATTCTCTTCATCTTTCTTTAACCATCTCTCACCTTCTTTTGGTTTGTCGTCAATGGAACGAATGACATCGTTAGCTTTGCGAACTTGTTCTATAGCACTTTTAAACATCTCTCTTCTCTGTTGTTTCAGTGTGTCATCTCTCTTTCGTGTTTCACCAACGTTTGCATTTGTTATGTCAAACATTTCTCTTCTTACTTCATGCGAAAGAGCTTTACGAGTATGACCAACGTTCGCATTTGTTATGTCAAACATTTCTCTTCTTACTTCATGAGGTACTGAACGTCTATGATATAAGTCAATAGCAATGTCATTTAAAGGAAATGCTCTTGCATGGACTTCGTCCTCGCCGCGTTGCGGCTTTATGAACTCATGAATTCTATCATAACTTATTGCACCATTGTAGTCTTTAATGAAGTCAGCGAGTGCTTTTTTGTTTGTCGCGTAATGCTTTGCAACATCTATATTAGCTTCTGTAAGAAGTTGTTTTATTTCCGAGTGTTCTAACTTAGACAACTTCCGATACATCTTTAGTAGGAAATAAAAAAATATTTTTTGAAAAAATTAGATTAGATTTTTTTTAAGTTATTTTTCAAAATAATTTAATATTTTTATTTTAATGAAACACATGCAAGATTGCAAGTTCTTTTCATACAATGCTCTCGCTACTGCCATCAAGAATGAGTTCAATAATGCTTCAAACGTTAATGTTATCTTTAACAAGAAGTTTGTGAAAGAATCTAAGTTTGGTCAGTATGTCAGACCATTAGCTATTGTCATTGACCGCAAACGTTATACTTCACAAGAGTTAGCAGTAGTTTTGAAACAAAAGGGTTTCTTCGTGAATGTCAAAGATACTCATTATACTATTAAAGAACTCCAACATTGACTTCTTCAGTATTGCTATGAATCTTTCCGAACAGAAAGAATATAAGAAGGGTGAAACAAATGTGAAATATTATCTTCATCTCTGAAGACAATAACGAACAAAGATGTTATACAAAAGTTCTTACCAAAGGTTGAAGAAGCTTCTATTGACATTGACGAAGGAAGTGAAATGGTTGAAGAAATTGACCCTGACGTCATTTAAGCAAAAATATATTTTTGGTTAGTCTTCATATCGATATTTTACAACAATTCCCCAATGTATAAACTTTTCATACGCTTTTTCATAAGCTTTATATACCTTCAGAAATTTTGCATAATCTTTAGAAGCATTTAGATATTGTTTAAATGCTTTGTATGTCTTCAGAAATTTTGCATAATCTTTTACATGTTGTTCGTTCTCTTCTTCTGTCATGAGTTCCGAATATTCTAAATTCATGTTCTTTCATATGAGATAAAATTTTATAAAAAAAATAAAATTAGCTTAGATTTTTTTATTCTTCCTCTTTGAAGTTATCGAAATATTCTGTTATTTTTTCCTTCAGTAATGTTAAGTCTTCTTTGAATGTAAGTATTGTGCAACCTTTGATGTCATAGTGTGTTTGAGGAAGAGTATTTTTGACAATTTCCTTTATTTGCTCATTCGGTGTCATTGAAATCGGTAAGTTTTCACGATAGAACCAGTTTCTGTCAGATTTGTAAATCTTAGCAAGGTCATAAAAGCTTTTGTTGTTTCTTCTGACTAAATGCAACATAACCATATCTCTATCTTCTTCTTTCTCCAACTCTTCAGTATATATCATATACTTATAACTCTTTTCCTTTCCTTTTGGTACCGAACGTGGTATTCTTTTCTGTATGCTTTTGTCTTTGGATTCAATGACTTCATCTTTTGCTTGAAGTTTCTTTTCCATCTCTCCACGTTCTGCTTTATATAGTTCATCTAACATCATGAAAATATAACAAGCATAACGAGGTGAAGCCCATATTGCTACAGCATTTACTAAAAGTCTATGAACATAATATCCTCTTAAATTTATTGGCAAATTCTTACGATTTTCATACGGAATCTCATTCCTCGGTTTTTCGAGGGAAGCAAACATATGAGGAAATTCTTCTAAAAGTTCTTTTGTCTGTTGGTTTTCAAACCAATGATATGCTTGCTTTGTAGAACGAAGAGCATTCAAAATACTTTGCATTTGGTACATATCGTCTTTGACCGAACGAATGAGACGTAACTGTTTGTTATACTGTATGTACTCATATTCTTCATTTATAGCTTCATGGACTATAACTGTTGTTGTGTTCTCTGTTGTTGACATATCTGTCTTTACATACAAAATAAAAAAATAAATAAAAATAAAACTAACTTTATTTTTTCTGTCTTTCACAAAAGACCAAAAATAAACGTTATTTTTACATGTATTTTTCAGCAACTTCGTCAAATAATTTTATAGCTTTATCTATCTCATCTACTTCAAACGTTTCTTTACCTTTTATGGGAGCACCATATATTTTCTCAAACTTTTCGAGTAGTTCTGTTTCAGCAGCTCTCATATCGTTAACGAACACAACCTTAACTCTATTGACTGTACTGTCATATCTTTGAGTTATATTATATGTTCTTCCTATCTTATATCTCTTTGTATTGAAGTCCTTCGGTTTCTGAACGATGTAAAGTAAGCCTTCACTGCAACGTTCTGAGTCGAATAAACCATATGTTATGAAGTTATATCCAACAACTGGGTCAATCCATAACAAAACTATTGGTATAAGACTTTTGTCGATGAGATATGCTGTAGTTCCATAGAATCTTACCGATATCATAAGCTCAGGATTTCTTGTCAAAATTTTCTGAGTTGAAGCAATTCCAACCCAATGCATGTTTTCTTTCCAGATGGAGATATAATGTCTGACAAAGAATATTTGTTGTATTTCTTTGAGTATCTTACGTTTAAATCACCAATTCTAACCAATTTAGTGTTATTGTCTATCTTTTTAACTGTTTCAAACTCAATGTTTAACATTTCTGTTCTTACATACAAAATAAAAAAATAAAAAAAATAAAACTAACTTTATTTTTTCTATCTTAAGGAAATTCACTGTTTTCATAGAGTTTTGGCGACCCAGAAAAAAAAAACGGTCTCGCTGTGCTTCATGATTTTCATGTGTTTTAGGCAAGGCCGATAAAATCCGGTCTAGAGAAATTTTCACGATTTCATGTGTTTTGGCGACCCAGAAAAAAAAAACGGTCTCGCTGTTCTTCACTGTTTTCATAGAGTTTTGGCGACTGGGGTTTCGAGGGAAGCAATCTTATGCCATTTTACTCAGATTTTTGTGCTGAATTCAGCAAAAATATATTTTAGGGTAGAAGGTTAGATCTAACCTCTTTTCTCACCTCTTTTCTACCCTCTTGAATTTTCATGATTTCATCGTACATGTTTTGTCATGATTTCATCGTACATGTTTTGTCAAAACTTCTTCGTAAATGTTTTGTCAAGACTTCTTCGTAAATGTTTTGTCAAGACTTCTTCTTCGTAATGAGTGTAAATCAGACAAAAATATATTTTAGGGTAGAAGGTTAGATCTAACCTCTTTTCTCACCTCTTTTCTACCCTCTTGAATTTTCATGATTTCATCGTACATGTTTTGTCATGATTTCATCGTACATGTTTTGTCATGATTTCATCGTACATGTTTTGTCATGATTTCATCGTACATGTTTTGTCAAACATGAACGTAAATGTTTTGTCAAGACTTCTTCATCGTAATGAGCGTAAATCAGACAAAAATATATTTTAGGGTAGAAGGTTAGATCTAACCTGTTTTCTAACCTCTTTTCTACCCCAGTTATTTTATAAGCGTTTTACATGGTAAACGTTATTTTTTAAATTTTGTGAAAACTCAACGGTTTGACACATGCCCTAAAAATTATTTTACTCAGAATTTTGTTGCTGAATTCAATAAAAATATATTTTAGGGTAGAAGGTTAGATCTAACCTGTTTTCTAACCTCTTTTCTACCCCAGTTATTTTATAAGCGTTTTACATGGTAAACGTTATGAATTCGTGAGACTCTAAACAGTTTTGTAGCTTCTATTTCTTCGCTGAGGATATCGAATGTTTTAACGATACCGAAAGTTTCTTTATACTTCTTCTTGACGTCAGATAGAAGGAAATCGTCAGCAGTTGGATAGTTTTTGTTCAGAAATTCTAACATGTCCATTTTATCTTCTGCTGGTTTTTCTGCTTCTTTCTTTAAGTCTGCATAGTCGTTTCTCATTCTTTCTATCTCTTTGACGGAGTAGTTATATTTCCTCATTGCTGCTTTACATTTTGAACATTGCGGGTTCATTTTTGCGTTATATTCTGAAACCTTACCTGCTAAAACAACCAAGGCGTCAATGGTTTTCTTTAAATCTGAAGCAGTTGGTTTTATCTGTTCATTCCATACCTTACCTCTTCTATCTTTATCTCTTATCTGCCATACACATTCAGCAACTAACGAAACAAAGTTGTCGTAGGTCTTAAATTCTTCAGATTTATATATGTCAGAAACATTCTTATATACCATGTCGCAATCTTTGTCCATAACTTTATGGTTGCAATGAAATCCTAGAAACTCATAGTTTACCTTTCGTATGAACTTCTTTATTTCTACTGAGTCAGTTGCTTTGACTTCAATTTCGTCGAATTCAGGAATAGTGAGTTTTTGTTGTTGGATTTCAGGTAGTTTGGGTAAATGGTCGATGAGGTCCTGCATTTCATAAAGATACTGTTCATTTGTTTCATCTTTCGCACTACAGTCTAAATTACTTGTTAAAAGTTCTTGCTTTATCTTCTGGATTTCTGTTTCAAAAGTATATGAAGAAGGAATGAAGCTTTTCATCTCTACTAACATAGATGTTGGATTCATGACTAACGAGTTTGGTGCTGTTGTTTGAATTGTTGTTGTGCCGATTGTTGAAATCATATCTTTTATACAAAATAAAAAAAATAAAAAAATAAAGTTAGTTTTATTTTTTATTTCGGGAAAATTCATGAAAATTCATGAGGTTAGAAAAGAGGTTAGAAAAGAGGTTAGATCTAACCTTCTACCCTAAACATTATTTTTGGTGTAAAATTCATGAAAATTCATGAGGTTAGAAAAGAGGTTAGAAAAGAGGTTAGATCTAACCATCTACCCTAAAATATATTTTTGGGTCCTTTACACTCATTACGAAGAAGTCTTGACAAAACATTTACGAAGAAGTCATGAAAATTCAAGAGGTGAAAAAAGAGGTGAAAAAACATTTACGAAGAAGTCTTGACAAAACATTTACGAAGAAGTCATGAAAATTCAAGAGGTTAGAAAACAGGTTAGAAAACGTGTTAGATCTAACATTCTAACATAAACATTATTTTTTGGTGTAAATAAATGGTACCATTAATAATTCCATGACTGTTCTCATTCATGTCTGATTTACATCTAATGAAAAAGTTTAGAAGAATTTTCTTATTCTTTCTGGCTTATTTTTGTCTTTCCAGTACTCCCGCTCTAATGGTCCCAGATGTGTTGGCTTTGACTCTCTCAAGTTCTTAGATGGTATAACATCTTCAACGCCTCCTTCATATCTTACTTTATAAGTGTCATCGTTTGTGTTGTAGCCAAGTATTTCAATAACCACTCCTCGCTTTGCTTCGTCAATGGTTTCAGCAAGTTTGCCATTACTACTTTCAACTAATTTATGACGAGGGTAAAATGCTATGGAGTCGTCAGCAGCTTTTATAAGATATCCATTACCTTGCGTAGAGTCTACGATATAATAATTTCGACTTAACCTTAAACGTTTCTTTGTCAATGGTTTGTCGTCAAGAACTACACGAACTTTTGTACCAGGAATGAGGGTAAATTGTTTTGAATTTCTGATATTTTGTGTTTGACTTAGTTTCTTTTGTATATACTTTTCTTCTTGTTGTTGTGTCATTGAATTTGGTGTATGTCCTGTTGTAGAATGTGTTGAGGAATTATATACTTCGAGAAAATGTTTCATTGTTTCTTCGGTAAAGTCTCGCTCTTGATTTAAATCTCTGAGAGTCCTTATGAAGCGGTTTATGATGCCGAGTATGTTATGGTTATGGTCTTCAGTAGTGTAGTGAGTTATGTTATGCTTAATGAGAAAATCTGTGATTTCATTGCTGAGGTATGCACTGTCTTGGTCTGATGTTAAAGTACTTGGGCTATGTTCTGCTACAAACTTTTGTAAAACTCTTAACACTTCACGAGTTCCTTTATTCCTCATTGGATATGCATATGCTTTACGAGTGTTAACATTTATGAAGATGAGGAATGGTTTATGTCTTCCTTTTCTGCTTTGAATGAGAGTGTCAAATTGGTATGCGTCAGGAGTGTTGGAGTAAATTGGTAAAAAGTAGTCGTAAGGATTTATTTTTGTTTGATGTACAACATTTTTGTCAAAGAACCTTTTCACTTCAGCTCTGTTAGTAAATCCCGAACTCTTTGCAGCTTCATTGAATTTCTTAAAAGACCTCCATGGATGTTGTTCGAATACTTCTTTCAAGCTCATTTATGTAAAGTTAAAGATTTTATTCTAGGCTCAAGCGCGTTCATTGAACTCTATACCATGCGAATACAGTCACAAATGGTGGCATATAATCTGCACCCGAGCCTGTTGGATTTGTTGTGAAAGTATGTGAATGATTTCCTCCTGGTTCAGTTGGTCGAAAAGTCTTTTTTGCTGCATTGTTATAAGATGGAGATAAAACGTCATTGCCAGCTTCATACTCTGAGTTGTATAATGGGTGGTCTCTTAATGAGTGGCTATGGTCGCCAGAAAAGTTTGTCGTTCCTGTATGAGTGTGCGGTGGAAGGTTTGCTTCAGTAATTTTCTTCGAACCTCCTGTTTGCTTTGAATATCTAGCACAGTATAAGAATTTATCTACAATCTGTTCCCACGTACCGAAACCCAGAACTGTTGCTGGATTTGTTGAGTTCATTGACGTATAAATAGAACCTATAGGATATAATGTTTGAAGTATTTCTGTCTTTAATGTTTGAAGCTCTGTTTTGTCAGCTTTCTTATCTAACATTGCTGGTAGTTCATATGCTTCAAAGTTTCTGGCATGATCTTCGGTATTCCTGCAACTCTTATCTAAATTGTTAAGAGTATCTTTTACGCTTGTACTTGGATTTTCTAATGGTGCACTTGAACCCAAATCATAGTTCAATATTATGTCGTCTGCTCTAACAGTAGTGAAGGATTTATGTGTATGGTTCTTGTCAGCTTTCTTATCATATAAATCTTGAGCAGTGAATTTAACATTATTTTCATCCTCCATGACATAAACATTTCTACATCTAATGTATTTCATCGTCGTTATGTTTTCCTCCGATGTTAAACCTTGTGGAAAGTTAGGAGGTTTCCAATATAATGCAGCCGCGTGCGGCGGGGCTCCGCCCTCCCCACCAGTTCCTTCAACCGTTCCTTCAATACTTTCTATACCAACAGTTGTGAAGAAATCATGTGTATGGTTCTTATCTGCTTTCTTATCTAACATTGCTGGTAGTTCATGTGTTTCAAAGTTTCTGACATGACCTTCAATGTTCATACATTTACTATTTAAGGAGTTTAGTGTATCTTTTACGCTTGTACTTGGATTCTCTAAAGGTGCACTTGAACCAAGGTCAAAGTTCAATATTATGTCGTCTGCTCTAACAGTAGTGAAGGATTTATGTGTATGGTTCTTGTCGGCTTTACTGTCTAAAGAAGTTTGAAGTTCATTTATATCGGAGATGTTGTGTTTATGAGATTTCAAAACTTTGTTCGTTGCGTCAAGTTCATCTTTGTCAGCTTTACTTTTAATAGCATCTTCAAACGTTATTTTTGACTTAACTCTCAAAGTAAATCTTGGTTCAACTAATACACCATTAACATTGAAAGTAGAGGCATAAATTTCACCGGTATAACCAAATGCTTCTGGTGCTTTAGCTACATCATACTGTACAGTACAGCTTATGTCATAACCTTTAGCACGAATGTATTTATATCTTCTTTCATTAACATTTTTTTGTCTTCGCTTCATCACTTCGTGTTAAATATCCATGGTAGTCCGTTATAATCTGTTCGTCTGAAGTTATATAATGAACGTGGTTTTTATCTGCTTTTTCGGCTAATTTCTCATTAACATCATTCACTTCTAATTCAACTCTTCCGCCAGAACTCTTATTATCATTAATCTTTTTCATTAATTCGGTAATTACGTCATAAAGACTATATTCTGTTTTCGGTTTTGTAAATAATGAGTCAAAATTTCTTTTCATCATTACATCGCTGACATTAATGATATCACCAATTCCTTTTTCATTTATTCTCTTCATTAGTTCTGCAATAATGACGAATATATAATCTGTTAATTTATTCTCTTCATCGAGGGTTATAGAATGTTTTGAAATTGAATCATTAACTCCTCTAAATAAATCAATAACTTCAGGATACACGTTTTTAATGTCTTGAATAACCCGACCAGTATCCTGTTGTTCATGTTCTTCGTTCCCGTCGTTACGTGGTTTTATATCTCTAACCATCATCAACGCAGCCATAACCGGAGGGTTTGTTGCTACCTGTTCGAAAATCCGTCCGTTATGTATGGTATATCTAAATAATTTCTTTGTGTTTGTTAAAACATTTGAAACAAGTCTTTTAAAACCATCTACAAAATTTCCTGTTTCACCTAATGTTCTTGCAGCATTTACAAGCTCACCCATTCCCGCTTTTGACCCCAAAAACGTCCATATTGCATTTATTTCACTCTGTATAGTTGTCCATTCAGCGAAACTAACACCCGCATTCGCTAAGCTGAAAATGAAATTCAGTGGATCGAACTTAATTCCACCTTCTTTTTCAATTTCAACGAACTCACTAACATGAGATTTTAAATATTCTTTCGTTAAAATTGTTTTCCCCGATGTTATGTCATTAACGAAACTATCACCGTCAAAAGTTAACGAATTCAATTTCGTCGTTGATGCTTTTATTTCATACACCGCTTTATCGATAGTTTTTGGCTCACCTTCTTTAGAAGCATATGAAACATTAATGAATGAATTATATGTATTCGTGAATGAGTTAAAATCAATGATTTTCATTAATGACGCCTTTAATGATTCATTAACTGTTGAATCCCTTAAAGTAATTAATGAACTGTCATGGGCTTCGCCCTGGTCGCTTTGCGACTTTATGAAAGGTACACTGCAAACCGTCGAGTTTGGATCAATGCTGTAGTTGGTGCAGGAATATTAATGATATAAGTCATTAAATCATTAAGTGACGTAAATAATGTTGTCGTTTTTGATTTAATTTCTTTAGCATCTGTTATATATGGTAATTTTATTTCTGTAGTTTCTGAATTAAAGATATTCGCTAAAATGTTTTGTAAACTGTTTTGAACAGCAGTATAAACCGTTGAATCCGGAACTCTTACGATTTCACCGTCCTTAATAAAAGGCATTGCACATGGTGTAGTGCTTGGGTCAAATCTTTCGGGATTATAATTCAACATATATTCTAATGCTTCATATACAGACTTATATACTGTTGTGTCGTTCTTCATGACAACTTCACCATTTACAATGAATGGCATTGTACATGGAGTTAAAATAGGGTCAAACTTTTCATAGTCCTTCCATGTTATGTATTTCTCGGTATTTCCATCACTGATAACAATATATTTGTCAGTAAGTGTGAGAGAGTATTGACCAAAATATAAACGTTTAGCTCTGTCAGCTTCATACGCATATGCAGCTATACTCATATTTTAATGAGAATAAAATGTTGTTCTATTTGCAAAGTACAGACCCAAACGAATACGGGACAGTAAAGCTACAAACAAACTTAGGTCTACAGAATGAGCCACTTGCATTCAGAATGGTTGACTTCAATACTATCGCTTCATTCGTTATAACAGATGAAACAGATTTCATGGAGCTTGAAATAGATGGAAAGAAGCACGAAATAAGATTTCACAATAATGTAGAATATAAGATGGAAACATTAGCTGGAGTGTTAAATGCTCTCATAAATACTACAATAAACAAGGATAACGAAGAAAACTTAATGAATGTTAAACTTATTGCAGGAGTTTTGAAGTTCAGTTATGCGAAGGAGTTTAAGATAACACGAATGAGTCATAGAGTTCAATTCTTTGGGAGCATACCATATGACATTTCCTTTGAAAAGTGTTGACAAAACGATTGAGATGAAATCTGTTCCATACGTATGTTATGGTAATTGTTTGTACATTGAGTCAAAAATAGCTAATGTCACAGGTATTTCAGGAGTTAATAGTAAAGGTTCAGTAGAATATAAATCCTTCTGTTATGCAGTCAATTCAATGTTCATTCCAAACGTTCCTGTCATAGCAACTCATTTAGGTAAATGGGTTCGCATTAGTCCTCATAATTTGAAAGACATGCAATTCAGACTTGTTGACTTTCAAGGAGAGCCTGTAGAACTGAAGGCACCAGTGCGAATGACTGTTGAAGTTGACTTTTTAGAAAATATTAAATGCAACAGCTTACAAGAGAACTCAGAGCTAAAAATATAAAGTATGAATGTTATGTATTAGGTCATGAACTTTGGTTGTTGCTGTTTGATGAAACAAATGAGTTAGTTATGTCAGTCAAGAGAACAGAAAAAGGCGTCAAAGGCGCCGAGCGCAAAGCGCTATATTGTGTTAGTGAAAACTGCACCAAGTCAATAAGATTAGGTTTGCATTATGAAGATGAGTTCGATACTGTTGAAGAAGTTTTGGATAGATACTATAAGTTGCTTTAATTTACTAAAACATATTTCAAACAAAGCTTATATTCTGTTGAAAGTTTTGTATACTCGTTCGAATATTTATACTTAAACTCAACTCCTGTAGTTCCTGGTGTTTCAATGATGCGGATGTTACCTATTTTCATGAATGGTGGCGTTTGACCACAGCATTCGATTTCAGGGTCGAGATAGTCAATGACACATTGCTTTCCTGTTATTCGTGATATAACATTTTCAAGGTCCTCCTTTGTTAGAATTATTTGGTTCTTACTTATAAGATTTATCAAAAGCTTCTTATCGTCTTTGAGTAAAATTGTTTGGTATAACTGAAGAAGGTAATGGTCTACGTTATCTGAAGGATTTGTTTGAACATTTGTGTAAGGGTTGTCGTTGGCTTCTCTTGAAAGAATTTGGTCCAGTGGTGGATACTCTAACTTAACATCTGATGTAGCGTTAGCGTTTGAAGCTGTGTTTAAATTCACGGATTTCAGCTCTGGTTCTGGCTCTTTCAAACACTCCGAACTATAATTCTTTATGACAATATTGTTTGTCGTTCGTGAGTCAACATTTGATGTTGGTTCAATTGGAACATTAACGGCACCAGCTAAGATGGACTTACTTCTCATTTCATATAGAATAAAAACCTTTTATATGTATGAAATGAACAATATACTCGACAAGGGTTTGAATGTAAAGCTAACGAATGAAAATATTGTTGAATTCACTGAGACAGGTGCAGTGTATAAAGATGTAGAACTACTGAACAAAAGAGCTAAGGGAAGAAGCAGGAATATGAACAAAGGGTGGAAGCCTATAAAAATTTATGTCAATGATGGCTCAGGAGGTTCAAACATAAAGTATGCAGAAAGTTATAGAGTTTATGCTCTCAAAGGTGAAAAGCCTTCATTTAAGAACAGCTATTCTAACGCATATCCTCAAAAGTTAACGGATGGGGAAGTGGATGATATGAATGACAGCAAAAATATTAACAGAAATGGCGACAGAGATGCATGGAATTTGTTTACCATCAGTCAATTGAAGGTTAAACTTTAAAACAATGTTGGTCGTTCCCATGGAATATTTTTGACTTTAATGGTATTAGTCATGATATGAATCTCAAGGTATGAACGAGGAGAGATGAGAGACTTATATGCTTCCCAAATTTCTTCAAAAGGTAATGTTATACCTGACTGTTTCCAAATGAGTTCAATATCATAACGTGAGAAACCTTGAAAGATAACGAAGTCAGTTATGAGACGTTTTATGTTTAAAGCAAGGAAACGCCATGTTTGCATAAGTATTGCTACAGTTAAGTGGTAATGTCTGACTTTAGTTATGATGTTAGCTAATGGTGAGTCAGGCTTTGACACTAAACCTTTTCCGGCGAAGTCGTCACAAACGAGCAGAGTGTTTGATGGATACTTTTTGAAGGGGTATTTTGAAAGTTTTGACAGAATGTAGTTTGTAAGTCGTTTCATATCGTAAACTCCTGAGTACTGACGTAAGTGGTGTTTGTCAATAATTCTTTCCATCTCCTCAGAAGTCTTTTGCATTCCTGACTGTATAAATTCAACGATAGCATAATATTTCCTCTTACGTCGAATGTAACGTTGAAGAAATTCAATGAGTTCACTGTCTGGAACTTTAACGACAGAGGCTTGAACTTTTGACATAAATGTTTTCGCTGTTGAGTCCATAGAGTCTGAAGTTGCTGATATAATGATTTGGTCATAGTAAGAGTCGTTTCCTAAACGCTCTGTTATGAGTATATGACGAATTAAATTAAATGTCTTACCTGAACCCATCTTTCCACAATAGAAATACACACCATTTGAACAGAATCATAATCTTTGCTGAAAGGAAGAATAAGAGAAGAGTTAAGTTTGTCTGTAGTTTCATTCATGTCTTCATCTACGTCATGTATTAAATGCTTCATTTTATCTCCATTAAAAATGCAAGTCAGAAATATTCAGAACATAGCACCGAGTCTAACTGACAAGAGTATAAAGATATACTATGAACACGTTATGATGAAACCTACCAAAATTCAAGAAAGTCAGTATACTTATGAATATCCAAGACACTGGGTAGAGTATGTAGGAGGTGAGAAAGCTATTGAAATCAGACAGGTTCGAAGTATTCCAGCAGGAAGAACAATATTATTGAAGAACTTTAATGTTTTGAGATATAATGATGAAACAAAGAAGCAAGATAGTTTCCCTGTTGCTGTGTATGTGAACTTAGATACAGGAGATGACATGAAAGTTTTTAATACAAAACTTCAAACGGTAGTGAGAGAACAACTGACTGCGGAAGGGCATCCATTACCTTCAGAAGTTACCATAGCATATAATTTTGAAACAAACTCAATAGATTTTAAAGTCATCTCTGCAAAGAAGTCAGGTTTTACATTTAATGAAGCAGATGTATATTCGAATGAAAACTTCAAAGCTATTGCATGGTTAGATAATGACGATTGCTTTAAGAAAATATTTAAATTCAGTGACTCAAAGATGTCAATAGATGACCTTCGTGGAATGTTACCATCGACGTTTACAGTTGAAGGTTCAGCAGGATTGCTTACAAGATTGTCAATTGGTGGTATTTGGTCTCGTGAGAACATTGTTATAAAATCCAGTATAAGTGAATTTGCTGAAGAATCTATATTATGTCTTTCAAACTACATGTATTCGCCACCGAAGCATTATAGTATAACAAACTTTGTCAGTAAGTTTAACATAAGACTTGTCGAACCTTCTTCAATGAAAGATGTTGTGCTACCTAAAGATGGAAAGGATGGACTCATTATTGAGATGATTTTAATTGCATATTAAATGAGCTTGTTCTTGAAGGTCATTCATGATGAAATAACTGTTGTAGAAGATGTTAGCAATTGTTCAGATATTTTATTGAGAATAGATGAGATAAGAAAGAAGTTTATGAATGAGAATGTTTATGTTTCATTGACTTTCTCCAGTAACGAGAACTTTTATGAGATAATATTGAAGAGAGATGATTTTAATATGGGGTAAATGGTAGCTTGGGCAGCTTTAGGCGCAATGGGAACAAAAGCATTAGCATTTGGAGCAAAAGCACTTGGAGCTTATGACGCAGTAAATAAAATGAGTGGAGGAAGGGTTTCAAGACATTAGATGCAAATAAAGGAAAGATTGGAGGCTGGGTTGCAAAGAAGTTAAGATTAAATAAAATGGGGCTCATAAATAAAGCATCCAATTTGGTTGCGACTGAGTCAGAAAATGCTTTAGGAAAGGACGATGAGTTTGCAAAACACGCAAAAGACTTTAATGACCAGATGAAAGGTGAAACAATGCATTTAAATAGAGTCGATGGAACTAAAGAAAATGTTTCTTCTCCACTAGTAGTTCTTCCATACGGACCTTATGGAATGTATGGAAACCCTTATGAACGACCATTTGACCCATTGACTGGTGGAAGTAACTGGTATCATTACGGCCGAAGAAGAAAGACAGTCAAGTTGGAGACAGACGTGAAGAAAGCAACTAAAAAGAAACCAAGGAAGAGAGTTATAAAGCAATGAATTCAACATGGTTAGAAAAGAGGTTAGAAAACGTGTTAGATCTAACATTCTAACATAAACATTATTTTTGTGCTATGTTTTCATACGTGTGAGGGTGGTGATATCATTATTTTTTATATAAATGACAGAACAAAAATATAACATTTCTACTCAGCAGGAATGAGACCCTTACTGACTATGTATTCGTTTAATGCTTGATGAAAACAATGGTACATATTATCGTATGGGTATACACAACGTCTGTTTCCATCGTCGTCGTATATGTAGAGCTCAAATCCAGTCCAACCTTCTTTTGTACAATATGTAGCTTTATTTAAGTATGCATTTATGTAGATAAGGCAATTTTCTTCATCGCTCCAGAAATAATTTTTCGTCATTGTTGAAATAGTTTTCGTTCCTCTGCGACCATAAGGAATGTATGCAATGAACTTTGCGTCATATGGGATTGTAATATATTCAGGGTTTCTTTCATCGTCAATGGGTCTGTCTTTGTTAAAATGCATGTTTCTCAGTTTTACTTGAGTTTTGAATAGTTCACGGAAACGTTCTGGGAAAGAGTCATAGTAAATGTAGTCGGACATGTCTTTGTAATGAAATAAAAAATTTAAAAAAATAAAAATAAGGTTATTTTTATTTAGTGAGGACGGTAGTGAAGTCGTTAGTGAAGTCGTTAGTGAAGTCGTTTATGTATCAGATGGTTTTGTAAATATTTAAGGTTAAGTTGGTGTTTGTGTTTGTGTTGTAAAATATACGTTATCGGTTTTGTAAAGTGTCAAATTCACAAGTATTGGGTAAGGTGGAACGCAGTGCCTCAGTACACGACTAAGCCATACTAACTGGCGTGTAATTTGTTCCAGTTAATGGATTAATTGGGAGATCTTCATGCGGTGTGTTATTATTGTACTCCCAAATAAAGGCAGGAATAGCCTGAATGCTTTGGCAGCGCTCCAATGTCGGCCAGAATCTCTCAATCTTCCAATTTTGGTAGGGAGAATGAGAGTCTGTATGCCGCCATTGGACGCCCCAAAGATCAAGTAGATCTTGAAAGGCGCCCCTATTTTCTGAACCGTTGTCGGTCCAGAAACAATAAGGGGCGCCAGATTCAATGAAGGCGGAAGCCGCAACGTTCGCTGTCGTCGCTGCCAGCATATCTGGTATTTGTATACACGCTAGGACTTTGCGGCTAAAATCGTCGATTATGCCATAAATATACTGGCCACGAACACCCCTAAAATAATGAACATCTGCGTGCCAGATAAGATTGGGTGAAAGCGCCCAATATCTTACTGCTGTTTCTGGCCCGGCATGCTCTAATCGCGTCTTGGTGAAATGATTTTCTTTGAAGTATCTGCGTACTTCTCTATAAGATACATCAATTTGTTGTAATTTCAAACGTTTCCATTGTTTTGTTTGACCACAGGGAAAGGCCCAGTGGTCATGTATCACAGCAAGAGCTTTGATTTGGTCGTAGGGATTGACCCTACGACCTTTCTTGCCTTTAGGCAATGGGATATTCTGTAAGCTAAATTGATTTTGTAAAAAAGATTTTGAAACATCTAAATATTTGAAATCATTTGATTGAAGGGTTGGGGCGATGGGAACATGGGTGCAAGCTTCTTCCCATGTCATTTTACCTTCTTCAATCTGATTGGAAATACCAATTAGGTAAATTCGATCGACATACCCTTTGTAAGGATTCATTCTAATGAAGTACGTTAACAATCAAAATATTCTATAAGTGTCTAGTATGGAATTCAAAAGAATAAAGAAAATGGTAACGTAAATAAACGTATTATGAAATAATTTATAATTAAAATGAAAAAAAGAAAAAATAATAAGTAAAGTGACTGGAAATGAAAATGAAAATCAGTGTACAGTTTTATTTTTTTCTCGCTGTGAAACGTATTCGGTCATTTTTTTAAAAATTAATTTTTTGTTAGAGATAAGAGCTAAAACTCGGTAAACAACTTCTTTATGTCTAGAAAATTCTATCTTGCCTTTTATTTTTTTCTCGCTGTGAAACGTATTCGGTCATTTTTTTAAAAATTAATTTTTTGTTAGAGATAAGAGCTAAAACTCGGTAAACAACTTCTTTATGTCTAGAAAATTCTATCTTGCCTTTTATTTTTTTCTCGCTGTGAAACGTATTCGGTCATTTTTTTAAAAATTAATTTTTTGTTAGAGATAAGAGCTAAAACTCGGTAAACAACTTCTTTATGTCTAGAAAATTCTATCTTGCCTTTTATTTTTTTCTCGCTGTGAAACGTATTCGGTCATTTTTTTAAAAATTAATTTTTTGTTAGAGATAAGAGCTAAAACTCGGTAAACAACTTCTTTATGTCTAGAAAATTCTATCTTGCCTTTTATTTTTTTCTCGCTGTGAAACGTATTCGGTCATTTTTTTAAAAATTAATTTTTTGTTAGAGATAAGAGCTAAAACTCGGTAAACAACTTCTTTATGTCTAGAAAATTCTATCTTGCCTTTTATTTTTTTCTCGCTGTGAAACGTATTCGGTCATTTTTTTAAAAATTAATTTTTTGTTAGAGATAAGAGCTAAAACTTTGCAGACAACTCCCCCATGTCTAGCAAATTTAACATTCGTCTCCCATTTTTATATATTTGGTTTAGAATGTTCGAAAATGCGTAATATGGTCATTAATATTAATTGAAAAGAACCTTGAATTAATTCAATCTGATCTCACAAAATATTTTAAATTACGAACTTTGTAGTTTGAATAGATAATTAGTATTAAACTCAAATAGCTAGTTTATTTTTGAATAAAAATTATTTGAATTTATTCAATTTTGTGAATTTTCCTTCAAAAATCAAGTTTAAATATCTTATTTGCCATATAATTATAAATACAATGAAACATATTCGAAATTGAAAAGAATGACTTTTTCTGTTCTTTCAATCATTCAATTTGAATTTTGCAATATTGGATTTCTCATTAAATATCTATTAAAAACAACAAGCAATTTAACTTACATTCAAATTTATTTGTGTTATATTCAATCTTCTCAAAACTTATAATTTTCGGCTATAGCATGATTATATGCTATATAATATAATAAACCTATAATAGTATCATTCTTTCAATTATTTGAAGAGAAAACCGAAAAAATCTATTTTCGGTCTATAACATATGTCATAGATTCTAATTTTGAACTTCACTGGTTGAATAATATTATTTTGATTTTTAATCCGAATGAACAGAAAAAAAATCTCAATCATTTTTTACGCATCATAATTTCAAAATGAACCATTGAATAACGAACTGAAAATATGTTAATAAATTATCGAGAGATATGTTCATGCCATATACAATGAATTATTAGGTGATTCTTTTTAAATAGTCTCATGTAAGCAAATATTCCTCTCCAAATTCTGAATGAAAAAAGTATTATTAATAATTGAATAATAAGTGAAAACGTGCCGAATGGATGAATTTAAGTAATTGAACAAAGGCACAACATTTTCTTTTTACATGGTTTATGACGAGATTTGGCATAACTACATTGGTTTTACTATATTACCTATTCGACATTTTGTGAGAAAAACGATTAAATCCTTTTTTTCAATGAAGAATAGAACTCATCTCAATGACGGGCTTCATATGTATGGGAGAAGAGAGTGTCTAATATAAGATTCAAACAAATGACAAATCATTCAACCTGCTAATAGATATCAGATAACAAAATATTATTGCAAAATCAATATTGAAGATCGTGATTATGATTTTCGGAAATCATTTTCAGAACACAAAGATACCAACTCAATTACAAGATTTCAAATTGTATTATGGCACAATATATTAAAAGAAAACTTGAGCGATGTTTTATTTCTCTCAAAAAACGAAAAAAGGAAAAAAGAGCCAGTGGCGGGACTCGAACCCGCAACCCCAAGATTAAGAGTCTTATGCTCTATCCGGTTGAGCTACACAGGCTTTACATATTTAGAATTTTATTTTTAGTGTGTAATAAACTTTTATATTTTATAAGTTTTTGTTCGAGACCTTTTTCCACATTTTAATCTAAAGTCTTCAAAATGATTTTTACAATGGGATTTCTGCAAGATTTTGATAAGATATTTTAATAACGTTACAATAACAAATTTATTAAGAAACATTCTTCATCCTTTCGGCTTTACTCTTGTAATTATGTCATTTTATATCAATAAGCCTAATAGTACACCACTTAATATAATGATATGAAACGGCTAAAAGCGAAAAGGGAAGAAGAATTTAACATGAAGTATAAAATCATCAAAACATAATATCTTCTAACAAATATAATACAAGACATTTTAAATACTGCCTCGTGTAATTATCTCTATACAAAGTCATATTTATCTCTTGTCATATTTGATGATTATCATATCAAAGATGTCTGATAACATTATTCCAAACTTCTTGTTTTATAAAGAATATGGAATTAAATTAGTCGACCCTGAATTATTTGAACAAATTAAACCTGAAAATCTTGATATTCATACAGAAAATACCATTGACAGAGCAATTATGTATAATTTCAAAGAAAGATTTATCTCATTCACTGAAAGAGAAGGTTTTGATAATGATCAAAAACTTGTAAGCTAATTTTATGCATATAATTTCATGGAATATTCATTACTATGGAGTAGTTGATTGTTTCACGTTTTTATAGGAAAGAAATTTGACTTAGAAATAACTTATAATTGTCTGCTACTTTAATTATTAGGTTTAAATACAGAGATCATTAGCGAATGTTTGAAATATCAAACCCCAAATGAAGAATGTTTATTTTTTTGCAATGATGATAAATGCGTTCAATATTAAGATCGATTGATTAGATGGAGTAAATTATAATAAATTTGAATTGTTATAACAGCATATAATTCAACAGAGCTTAATATTCAAATAGTGCAAATATCAATAACAAATCAGTATGGAAAAAAATGCTCTTCATGTGCAGCAGAAATCAATAGTAAAGAGATAGCCGAACTGTAATTTCACATGGTACAAATATCAATGAAAATGATAATGATGGAAAAACTTCTCTTCATTATGCAGCAGGAAATAATAACAAAGAAACCATCGAACTTCTGATTTCGCAAGATGTAAATATCATTGAGAAAGATTAATTCGAATAAACAGCTCTTAATTATGCAATATGGACATGTGGATGTGGAAAATTTTGAATATTTACATTTGGATGGAAAAATTGTATACATTACATTTGGATGGAAAAATTGTATACATTACATTTGGATGGAAAAATTGTATACATTACATTTGATTGGAAAAAATTGCCATAGATTTTTACATTTTTTTATTGAGAAAAACTTTGTTATTTATATATATATTAAGTAAACATATGATGAAATATTAAAATTCTGCCGTTTGAATAGAAAAATTTGTTTTCATTTTTTATCTCTTCAATGGCAACAATTGACTTTGAAAAATATGGCGACAGTGTATATCAGTGGTGTAATGACCTAACATTCCTGGAGTGCCGCACCAAAGAACAAATTGTTTCTCTGATAAACAATTGCAAACTCAAACCGGGCCATTTCAAACAACTAATGACAAATTTGACAAACTTTTTTGACTCGAATGATTTGTTCTACATTATTAAAACAAGTACATTTCAAATGGACTTGAACTATGACTCCGCAGTTGATATGCTAATGTTGTTTTGCGATATATTCCAATCATCATTACTCAGTGATATATTATATGCCCTCACAAAATCAGTCCCAACAAAATATTCTAATTCGTCAAGTTTATATTTATATAGACGTTCTAATCTCCAAGCACTTAGGAAATTGAAAACTGATAACGGAAAAGATTTTTATAAGATATATGATGTTTTTGAAAAGGCTGCGAATGAAAATGATATAACAACAATCAAAACAGGTATCGAAGAAAAGTATCACGAAGTTGTTTTCGATGGTCTTAACGGTTTTGTTTGCCCAGGTGATAATATTTTGCTTCATGCGGCTCATGAAGGAAACACAAAACTTGTTCAATTACTTATTGAAAATGGTGCAAATGTTCAATGTAAAAATGATGATAATCAAACAATCCTTCATTATTTTGCAAACATTGGAAATTTAGAGGGCGTTAAATTAGCTGTTAAATATATTGATGTTAACGCAAAGAATATATTAAATGAAACACCACTCCATTGTGCAGTTGAAAATTGCCATCTCGAAGTTATAGAATATCTTTGCAAATATCCTGGCATTGATTTGAATGCCAAAAATAAATATGGAAGAACTTCACTTGCTAATGCAACATTCACACACCAAATGCAGCTAGTGTACCTTCTAAAGAAATATGGATGCAAAAAATAAACATTTTATTTTCATTTTATTACTGAAGAAATCAATTCGCATTTTTGATACATAATTTGAAGAAATTAGTTTTTGCACATGTTGGGAAGTGTATTCTGTGTCAATTTACATATGATAACAATCACTAAATATATTTTGATGTCTTAAGATTTAATTTTATTTTTGAATTAATTACAAAACCATTTAAGAATGAAACAAAGTATAATATATCAATAATTCAGCTAGGGGTAAATTACCCATCAAACCCTTTCAAGTTCTTTTGGATATTTGAAGGCTTTAGTCTAATATTTCATTTATTCCAATGTTCGAATCATTTAAAACATCACCATGTAACTTGCATTTCTATGTTTCATACATAATATGCATATTTAGAGAAACAAAATAATTCTCTATATATGATGGATCTGAAAGTAATCTTTAAGATTACAGGTACAAAATTACAAGCGTAATTACATATAAAGATCAATTCAGCTCAAAAACGAATGCATTTTGATCCTAAAATAGAGTTTTATCAAAAATATGGATTTTACAAAGTAAAATATATCAATTTCTGAATTTACATAAAAAGAAAATGCGATCATATATTTCAGAATTCAATAGATAAGAATTTTTTTGAACCTTAAACTATTTATTTACATATCCATGTGGACCATATGTTTAAGTTTGGAATAGTTGTTTATAATTCAATACTTCTCAAAAATATCAATTATCGATAACGATCAATTTTTTAAATTCAAAATGTTTACTAAAGATATGGGATAATAATAAATTTGATTTTCTCTCAAATTTAAACCTCATTAAAATTTTGATGTTTTTCTACTTCCTTTTGCATCTTAGTAATTGCCATATATGCTTACACCATCTTATGAATAATACTGTTTCATATCATCCTGACTTGGTTGGCCAAAAAGAAGCTTTGGAAGCAGATTCTACAAGATTACCAATTAGAGTTAGCATTAACTACAGTCAAATAGAAGATAAGTCAGATTCATATATGTGCTTGAAAAAAGGACAAACAATATCCTGGAGAATGGGCACAGTTACATGTTCGGATACAGATTTGATGACTCAAACAAAGCTAGATGTATTGAAACAAGCATTTTCACAACTATCACAAACTCTTTCATCCCTTTTAAATGTTACTAGACTAACAAAACCAATAACAATCTCATCATTTGCGGATATTACCGTAGATACATATTCTATATTGACAGATCTACATATAACAGCCGTGGTTCGTCCATTTGGAACTGATTCTACACTTGCATCCGCCTTTTCTTGGACTCTAAATCCAAAAGATAACAGACCGATACAAGGAGGAATCTATATCAACCCTACGTGCATACCTAGTACACTAACACATGAGTTTTTCATGACAATATTGCATGAAACATGCCATGTATTAGGAATTTCACAGAATTTCTATGAAAAGTGGAAAAATCCACAGACAGGATTGGTGTATCCATCTGGACCAGTCCAATCATACTATCTTCCAGGCATTCCGAACAAATTATTTTATGTTGAAATCGGACCTTACGCACAGGAGTTTGCAAAACAGCAGTTCGGTGTTGTTACATCAAAACAGATCCCTACAGGTATAATTCTTGAAGATCAGGGCGGTTCTGGAACGAGTATGTCTCATCCAAAAGAATTATACTATTTAACAGACTTAATGGATGGTTATCAAGTTCCTCCATCAAGGTTATCCAATGTTACACTTTCGTTGCTTATGGATTCCGGTTTTTACGATGTTAATTTTTCAATGGCCGAGCCATTACCTTATGGAAACGGAATATCCATTAACGGATCACTTCTAACCAATTTCACGACCAGGCCACCACAAGAAGTGCTCCCTTCTCACTATTTCTGCGAAATAACTGATTCATCAGTTTGTACATTTGATTTTTTAGCCGGCGCGAAATGTCCAACCCCTTATAGATTGAATTGCAGCCAAAGTAATTCAATTTGCAAGATAAAAGAATTTATTGATCCATTTGGCAAAGAAATCGTCAGTAATTTGGATATGTTCGACTACCAAATGAGTGCGATTCCTTTTGCTAATATGCAGTGCATGGATCATTCTCTGAACGCAAATTATGCAAAATTAGGAATGTCATTTTCAAACAACTCAATGTGTGCAATGTCATCATTGTATCCAGGTCCTCTACCAGGAGATAAAATACCAGGCTGTTTCAGGATGGATTGCGATGAATCAAAGAAATTGTACATTCACGTTGATAAACAGAACAAACAGTGCAAGAGTAAAGGTCAGAAGATCGGTTTTGTTGGATATTCTGGTAGTATTATTTGTCCAGACCCAGAAATGGTTTGTAATATGAGAGATTTCTTGGGATATGAAAGGAGCGATCCAGGAAAGTCAACATATAATATTCGAGACTATTCATGGCTTAGCATCATGATTGGATGCATTGTTGCTGTTGTTTGCCTCATTTCATTCACAATTTACATTTTTGTAAGAAGAAGACTCAGAAGAAGACAGATTATGCACGCTTTGAGTGAAAACCAGACAACTCGCTTAATTCCTGAAGAAACATACAATGTTTAATATTTATATTTTGTTATTTTTTTAAATATATCTGTTATTAATATCATTTAATCATGTATTTCATAATTTTATACCCTAATTGATCATTTAATTATATATTTCTCAATGATTTTTTTTTTTAACCTTGATATCATATCCAATGCATCTCTTCCTCTCAAAATACCAATGTTTTAAACGATTACAAGTATCGAATATGATTTTGAGTATAAAATCCTAAGATTGAGTATCAATAAAAGTGTTTTAAAGCATATTTTATATCAGATATGGTCATATTGCACTCAAATAGAATTAGGATCTCGTCTGATTAGCAATGCTGTAACCCAATCTTACTAAAAAAGAAGAGAGGAGTTTTTGTCAGAAAAAAATGCTTTCTTTCTTCATCTCTATTAGTTTATCAAAGAAACCAGTCATTCTAATTCCAGGAATGTATGGTTCAAATCTATATGCAAACTATACAGATGCTCACTTACAGTGGTTTTGTCCGAAATCAGGAGAAGACGAACTGATTTGGGGAAATCCTCTTAGATTAATAAGACCAATGTATCAATGCACATTCGGACTTCTTCGTGAATATTGGAATAACTCAGAACCCATCAAATATCCAAATATTTCTATCAAGCCAAAATCCTTCGGTCCATTAGATGATATATTATACAAATACAAGATTCCAGGAATCACATATGGCATTTCTGGAGACTTTGCAAACCTCGTCAAAGCATACATCAAAAAAGGCTACAGACCTGGTGTTGATTTACTTGCCGCTCCATATGATTTTCGTCGTGCTCCGATGTATCTTGGCGATTATTACACAGATCTCAAGAATTTGATCGAAAAAGCGCGTGTCCAAAACAGAAGAAATGTAACTTTAGTTGCTTTTGACTTAGGAGCATTAGTTATGCAGAGATTCCTTTTAAAGAACGTAACATGGGGCTGGAAGAAGGCAAATGTTCGAAATACTGTTATGGTTGCTCCAGATCTTGTTGGTTCAATCCGCCCATTCCTCGAATTAAGATATTCTGAAACAGAAAGAATCCCATTCTTACAGAACCAATATCTTGGCGGTGCATTGTCCTCTTGGGCTGCTACATACGCTCAATTACCAAATTTCAACGTCTTCACTGGAGAAAATCTTGTAAGATTCCCACTTCAAAATACAACTTCTTACCAAGTACCAAATTTACTTGCCAGGTTCGGACTTGTCAGAGGAACAGATATTCAAGGATTAAACAGATCACTTCGCATTTTAAGGAAGGAACTTAACGACTACGAGGTACCAACAACTGTTATATATAACAGTGGAATCAAAACATTAAGGAGTCTTGAATTTCCTCAAAATCCCCGTAAATATCCAAAAGTAGAATTTTCGGATGGTGACGGACTTGTATTATCAGATGGACCTAAATACATATGCTCTAGATGGTCGAACATCAGATGCATTGATGTCAAAAATGATGGAAGGTATTTCAGACATCAGAGATTCATGAATAACCCATACGTTGTGGATCTCACAGTAAACGCTTCAATTGTTTCAGCTTGGGCTGTGAAAGGAAGATTAAATGAAGTGGCTCCGCAAGTTACGACAATTCCATTCTTTGGGTACTACATCAATCAAAATGTTCGGGCAAGGAAAATATATAGTGATCTTTAATAAAAAAATTGTTAATTTTTTTTCTAATTTGTAATTTATTTAATTTTTTTACATACTCATATCTCAGGATCTTGAGTGGCTTTTCCAACCCCCTTATACACTATGAATTTTTACAATATTACCAATTCAATGAATAATGTAAAATCTTTTCACTACATGGTTCACCTCAGTGACATCCTTTTTATTATATATAATATGTTATATGCTCACGGACTACTGTGAAGTGAAACTTGCCAATTTCTTTCATTCCAATGAGAAATATGCTTATGATTCTCACATCTTTGAGTAGCATTAGTTGTTTATAAATCTATTCTCTTCTAATGCTCAGAATCAAATCAGCAGAAAGAGAAGTAAAATTTATATTTGACAAATGATAGATTTTACTGCACCATTAATTAATTTACGTAATTTACCAGCTTTACCACCTCCATCATCTCAGTCATCGCAAAGCCAAAACGCGTCATCAGATAAATTGCCAAGAGAAAAAGACAAAATCATTCAAACACCTTCATTTTCCGAAGATATCTCTGAAATTCAACGAAATATCAAGGACGATGAAGACGATATACAAGTTCACGTTCATTATCATCAAAATCTCGAAATTTTAGAAAGAAGAATCCGAAACAAATCAGTTGGCATAGATTGCACTACAGAATGCATCGCAGACCTTTATGGAACAATGGAAGGATTCATAATTTCAAAAGATGAAATTAAAATTCTTGATTCTTATAATGATAATTTTGATACATACAAAATTCCTGATTTTTGGGAGCCAAGAGTTTATGACCCTGAAGAAGAAAAGCTTTCTCATGCAGAATCTAATCAGCTTAAAGATAAAATCGAAAAAGCAATGGAAATAATCTTTCAAAAAAAGATTGGACACAATGATAGTAAACAAATCATTAATATTTCAGATAGTGATGATGAGACAAGCAAAAATGAGTATAACGAGCTTTGGTATCTTCCTCATCCTCCTGTCAAAGGATATCGTCGCTCAATATATCGCTCTCCTTATGTTATACAATGGAGAACTGCAAATTATCTTACAGATGATTCAGAAGATGAAACAGACGTCGAAGATTTTCAATTATAACATTAATTCCTTGTTTTTGTGTTTATTAATAAATAATTTCATGCAATATCTATCCACCACATCATTTTAACAACATTTACTCTTATTACATATTCACTATAATATCTCTATCCTGTATTTGACTTTGAATGATTGATTTTATTTAAAGATTACAAAATTTAACTGTATTTTTGAAGTGTAATTACATCACAATATACAAATATCATGTTTTTAGGCATACATTAAAATTTGCTGAAATTAATTTTGTCACTTTTGCATTTTGTATTTATGAAAAACAATTATGTTCAGTCCACTTATCAGAAAATAATCAATTTATCAAAGCCTCTAGTCAATGTTAGTACCGATTTAATATGGGCTGCTGGAACTACAGCCTTAATAGTTTTATATCCACTGGCAATTTCAATTTTAGACGATAGATTCCTTGAAAGAAAAGCAGCAGAAAACAGATAGTTGATACTATACCCTTATTTTTCCGAAATTTTTTATGTTATTAATAAGGAATTTTTCTAGTAACAAAGAAACTATATCCAAATTACCAAACACTACACACATCCAAAATTGTGTATTTTCCCATTATAAAAATTGTTGTTTTTCTTTTTTATTTTTTCTAATTATTTCTGTATTTCTCAATTCAGCGAACATAAACGCTACATCAAATAAGTTCGCAAACTTTACCTGTCAAATGGTAGCTCTTTGATCGATTCTCTTGAAATAACAGAAATGTGGATGAAATTGATTTGAACAGATCCAGAAATAAAAAAAAAAAAAAAAAAAAAAAAAAAAAAAAAAAAGGAAGTGGGGCTTCCAGGCACTTCGTGCCCTCTAGCCCCGAAGATGTTTAGTATAAATGAAGTTCTTATATACGGGTCTTCCAGGAGCTTTTCACAAATTATATATGTTTTCATGTTTTGTCAAGACTTCTTCGTAAAATCAGACAAAAATAATGTTTAGGGTAGAAGGTTAGATATAACCTCTTTTCTAACCTCTTTTCTACCCTCTTGAATTTTCAAGACTTCTTCGTACATGTTTTGTCACTTTTCTGTCACTTTTCAGGAAAAAACATTTTTATTATATATATAAAATGAATTTTACAAAACCACCGTTACCCTTCTTTGGAAATAAGAGTAGATGTAAAGATATTCTATTGAGAGAACTTAAGAAACTACCGAATGGTCTAACATTTGTAGACTTGTTCGGTGGAAGTTTCTATATATCTCATTTGTGCCATACAATATTTCCTGACTCAAAGATTATATGCAATGACTTCGACAACTATATGAACCGTCTCAAACATATACCAGACACAAACAAAATATTGAAAGAGTTAAAAGAAAAGATACCTATAGGTAAGATGGAACGTATACCATTAGATAAGAAAAATACTGTCAGAGAGGTTTTGAAAAAGGCAGAGTATATTGACTGGGATAGTATATCTGCTAGACTATTATATAGTGGTGCTATAAGAGTTCATGACATTGAAACACTTATGTCAAAAGTTTTATATCTTAACTATACAAATGTTTTCAAAGAGAACATAGAAAAATATATTGAGGGTATAGAGTTTGTGAGATGTCATTGGACAGAGTTGTATGAAAAATATAAAGACAAGGAAAATGTTTTCTTTATAGTGGACCCGCCGTTCTATAACACATGGGATTTTCAATACCAAGTAGACTGGACTTTGAGAGACTCTTTAGAAACTTTAGACGTTTTACATAACCATCCATGCTTTTACTTTACATCCGATAAAAGTGGTTTGGAAAGTGTCATGAGATGGTTAGAGGACATACATGACTATGAGTTTAGATACGATAAGATAGAATATGAGAGAGGTCCTATAAACTGGAGAAAGTGTCATAACAAAGAAATTTTATTGGTAAGTAAATGTGGTTTGAAATAGGACTACTTGTTTTAGGTTTTTTCCATTGTGTCATTTACTTATTTGACGTGGCAGAAAGATATAGAGAATATGAAGATGAACCAATGCCTGCAAATGTCCAGTATATGTACTCGTAAGAGATATTTTTATCTAATATTAAATGGACGCACAGAACTTAGCGAATGCACAGCAACCTGGACAACCAAACCCAGAGAATATTCCAAATGAAGTTAGAATACAAACTGCAATGGCAAACTATGGTCAAGTGCCAACAGATGTACAAATGCAAACTGCCATGTCAAATGACGCTGCGTTAGGTTTGCCACCATGGTATGCAAATATGAGATGGAAAGAGTTTTATACAAACCCTGAAGTGGGATATAAACAACTTTATGCAGATGACGCGAACACAGGAGTTGACCCAGAATATGTTTTCTACCAGAGGAGAAACAGAATGTATGAGCTCCAGTTAAAGAATGCTATGGAACTCAACAGGAAACGTAAGAGACTAGGCGGACATTAGATTTTTACATATAGTAAAATGGGTTTCTTCAGTAAGATAGGAAACTTCTTTCGAAATGTTGGAAGAGGTATATGGAATGGAATAAAAACCGTAGGAAGAGGAATTTGGAACGGAGTCAAAAATATTGGCAAAAGAGTAGGTCAGTTCGTTGGTATTATACCTAAAGACCCTGAACCAGAAGAGCAAGCTCCTGTTATACAACAGCCTGAACCTGCACCACAGTCTAGTTGGCAACCAAATCCAACACCTCAACCGTATTAAAAAGTTATATTTTTACCGTTCGATAGTAGTTGTATATGAAACTAAGTTCTAAGTAAAACGCATGGTATAATGGAATTATTCTCTTTCTTCCATCTGTAGTAAACCATACTTGAAAGTCTGAAATACTTCCACTTGGTGGTTCGTATAACTTTGTAGGTTTTTCGTAAAAGTCATTTGCCAAGCATAAGAAAGAGTTTTGAGCGCCAGAAAATGAAGCATGAACAATAATAGCAGCTGGGTCGAAAACATCTTTAAATAAATATGGTTCATCTCTTGCATATCGACTGTAAATATTTGCTAAAGGAAGTTCGACTTTCTGATTTAACATTCTTTGCAAATAATACCATGACATTGCAGTGAATTCTGTATATATTTGTTCGTCTTTCTTTGGATTGTCTTCGTAGATTTGAAATGACACTTGTGAATTTTGTTTGTCTTATATACAATTCTCTCACATAAAGTGTGCTCTCGGTATTTGCATATTCATCAGCATATTTTGCATAACATGAATTTATTTTATCTTCTATATTTTTTAACGCAGTCTGTAGAGAAGATGAAAGGTCAACTTGTATTAGCTCAATTTCTTCCCACATTTTTCGTTTCCCTTCAGATATATAATCTATATGAAACCTTACAATAAATGGGAAACTTTTATCTTCTACAGACACAAATTTTATTCTACGAAAGCCAATAGCTTTTGTGACAGATGGGTCTCTTAGCCATCTCAATGGGTAGTCAAAACGATAGCCTTCATGCTTTACGGTCTCTGTCTCAAACTTTTGACCGACATTAGTAAAAAGTTCATCTAATGGTTTAGTTGTAGCAACTCTTGAATTTTCTTTTTCTATTGGAAGCATATTTTATCTAGAATAAAAATGTCAAATGAAACAGCGTCTATGAGAGAAATACAACACAACCGACAACTCATTATACAAGCTCTAAATAAGAACACAACAAACTTTTCAAACTATTCTAAGATATCTGAGTCATTGAAAGAAGGAAACTTAAAACTGACGATAAACCCAATGACAGATGAGTTTCTGTTTCAAGACAGTAAGAACCATACTGTTTGTATAAATCCAACAAAAAGAACTTTAAACGAGAAGCCTATAGATGAACTTCTTTTGAAGGCAGATATTGACAACAAAGCTGACAAAGAGTATGTTGACGATGAGTTAGCACGTGTGGCTAGTGCGTTAGTGAAGAAGGCAGATAAGGAATATGTGGATGAAAAGGATGAAAAAATTAAAGAAAGGGTTGAATGGTATAATGAACGGACAACAAAGATTTTAGAAGGTAAAGCCAATACAGGGTGGGTTTCAGGATGTTTAGACCTTAAAGCCGACAAAGAAACTGTAGATATGTTGACACAAACGGTTTCAAGTCATACCAGAGGTTTAATGGAAGATGGACAACAGTTGAAAGAGCTTGAGAAAGGTGTTACAGAGTTAAGGAATACAAAAGCAGACTCGACATGGATAAAAGGATATGTAGATGCAACAAAAGAGTATATTTTCGCATGGACAGAAGGAACATACCCACAAAAATATCATAGACATAGCATCTCTGACGTAAATGAACTTGAAGAAAGGTTATATAAGAAAGCAGACAAAACAGAGCTTCAAACGTTAAAGACTGAAATACTTCAAACAGTATATCCTAAGGTTCTATTTATACGTCAATGAACTCTACCAGACCAGAAGTAGTACTTGGTTTTGGACGAACTTGGACTCAAATAGTCGAAAGGTTTTGTGTATTGTGCAAACTCTTCAAAGGTAACAGGTGGAAGTAAAACGATTTCAGGTGAAAACTTACCTGCACACAGTCACTACATAAATTTAACTACAGCTGAAGCAGGTTGGCATAAGCAAGATATTGGGATTGGACAGGAATGACAAAAGGTAAAGGGATATGATGTTAAAGACGACGTTTAAGTTTGCTATAAATTGTTACTGGGATGACACGCAGGGAGGAGGAAGCCATACACATCGCATTACAGGATATTCGGAAACAACGGGACAAAGTAAAGACTACATGCCACCTTACATGACAGTTTACGCATGGTATAGAAATGCTTAGTCGTCATTTTCAACTTCTTTAGCATATTCGTCAGGAGTTGTCTTATATTTGTTAGGAACTGTCTTTGAAAGTATACCACCTTGAACTTTGACAAGTTTGAAACGAGGTCTGACAATAGTAGTTTTATCTTCTGCTTGCAGTCTGTACATTTTGCCATGTTTGCCTAAAACTTCATAATATTCTCTTGTATACTTTCTTCTATTTTTACGAACACGAATGCGAGTACCTGTCGGGTTCCCATTGTTGTCATAGTCAATAGTATTTTCATATGGGTCGCGTTTAGGTATTTCTATTTTTACTTTGTCACCTTTCTTAAGTTTGAAGCCTGGCATTCTTTCTTGTTTGTCTCTTTTGACTAAACTATTAAATATATAGTCTTTCTCTAAGTCGGGGTTGTTTTTCATTTCTTCGGGGAATGGTTTCCCAAACCTTTTTGTTTACGGCTATTGTAAATATTTAAAACTTGTCTCATCTTTGCCATGGAGAAGTGTCTATACTTGTCGTCATATGACATTTCATTTGCTTCACCACCTTGTGGTTGATTTAAGTCTCTTAAGATTTTTATACAACTGTCAATGACACCAAGAGCAGAATGGTTTTGGTCGACAATGAAATATTGGTTTACATTTTTTGAACGCAGATAGTTTTTAATATCGTCTGATTTGAAAGAACTTTCACAGTCAGATGTCAGTTTTGTTGGATGGTATTTGTCAACGAATATTGTCAAAGCAGTTTTCACATCTAAAATATTTTTGGACTGTAATGGTATGGCTTCACAGTATCTTGTGTTTTGACCGACAAATATTAGCCAGTATGGTGGTCCATCTTCTCTATACCTCGGAATGTTTTCCAAGATATCCATAAACCAAGCATTTGGTGTTGAACTAAAGATTTTTACCATGAGTGCTTTCTTTGTCGCTTTAGAAACATAGGGGTCCTTGTTTGGATTCGTCATTTTTTAACCCATAAGAAATGGTTTATTTGGCGCATTAGCAGGAGTTGCATCCAGATTTTTTGCCCGCAGTGGGAACAATAGCCAGAGGTGTATTTGGAGTTGGCAAGGAAGATTTTGACATTAGGTATACTGAAAGAGAAAGCTCAGCCTATTATACAAACTGTACAGAAAGGTTGGGGTAGCACGAGATGCAGCAAAATCTTATTCCAAATCCTGAAACAAGAGGAAAAGTTCAAGGATGGAAATAGGAAACAATAAACAGGAAATAAACAAAGCAAATGACTACTATAACCAAGCAGGCACTAATGGACCAAGGTGAAAGATTCTTTAAAGAGGATATAACCATGCACAACAGTGGGTAAACAACAACCAACCGCAACCGCCTCAAACGTGGGGAATGTAAATTTTTTTACTTGAGATGAAATGAACAATACAGCTTTGAGACAAATGGGTTCAAGATGGATTTGTCGACTTCCAGCAGTTACACAACCACGTGTTTGTCAAGTTCTTCCTATACCTCAGGAAGTTTTAGACCGACTTAAAAAACCTAAACAACCAGTTGAAAACAAACCAAACTAAAATTTTTACTGAGATGAAATGACCGAAGAAGTTGAAACGGTAGATTTGACACACAAACAAAAAAGTTCAGAACCATTGTCAAAACCTGTCAAAGAACTTACAGATGAAGAGAAAAATTCAATAATAGAAAGTGCCAGGTCTGGAAATACAAACCCTAACTATAAAGTCACTTTTCATAGAAATGGAACGGCTAGTATCTCAAAAAAGAAACAGACTCTCACAAATAAAATATTGAAGTCTGAAGGAGCTTTCGAGACAACAGATGGGAAGGTATTCTTCACTGACCAACAGTTCATTATAGAACATCTCATTGACTTAGAGTCAAAATATTCTAAACTTTACAACAAACACAAAAAGTTGAAAGGAAAACAAAAACAAATGGCATATGATATTTATGAAGATGTTGACGACACAACTGTTCCTGCAGGTGAGGTAAAGTCAGAGGAACCGAAAAGTGACGAAAAACCGATAGAAGAAGAAAAACCAAAAACTGAAGATAAACCAAAACCAAAGTTTAGTTTCCAAACTAAACCAAGTCAACCTTCATTAGCTGGTATGGTTGGCGTCAAAGACTTATGGCAGCCGGTGGTTATGTAAAGTAAAGAAAAAAAAAATATTTTTTTATTTTTATAAAAATGCCCCCATATAGAATGGACAGAAGGTCTGCTAGAATAAAAGCAGAGTTAGAAAGATATGGTTGGAAAGTTTCGAAGAAGTTTAAATATAGGAAGGAAAGCCAAAAAAGTCTATGACAAACTGTCTGGTCTTCGCTACGAGATGGACTTAGAAACCGCGCGCGCCAATTATCCAAACAGACTCGAGAGGTTAGAAGAAAGAACGTCTTATGGACATGCCTTTCGATGTTTCTGAGCCTCAAGTTGAAGGACACGACGGCTTTGCCAGATTCTACTGGAAAACATGACGAACAATTGCATCCTTTGAGAAGGAAAAAAGGAAGGTGAAGACAAACATGCTCCCATGGAAAGAACAAGATATGCATATGAGAAGTATCGTGTGAAGTTAGAAGTAAATTACATCTGGTCGAACCTTTACAGTAAACTTTGACGAAGGAAAGAACAAAGAAGGCTTCATGGGTGTACTTGCTGCTATACAAGACGGAAATAAGAAAGGATACAATCTCAGACTAACCATAACAGATTTGGACGGTCATATATACTATGCACATGGCAATGTCACAACAGCTGCAATGCTTCTTGACGCTTTCAAGACTACAAAGAGAGAACAAATGGTTGACTCCGACTCAGACATTTTGAATGCAATTGAAGGAATTGCAAGTGTCAAGTTCGAATGGTACCAACTAACCCTCAAGCAGTCAGACAACATGCTGGATACTTCCCCTTCATAAATAAGTCTGACATTGACTTGACAAGGTATGGAATTTACAATTCAATTGAAAAAATTGTCAATGAACCTTGTATTCTTACATGTCTCAGGAACTCTGGTCTTGTTACAGATGAGAAGATGAAGTATCTTGAGTCATGTGTGAAGACAAGGTACATTCTCAGAGGTCAATTGTCAAAGATTGCACCGTTGGCAAATGTGAATATCCGAGTTAACATACCTACAGCTAAAGGTTCTTCACATGACGACTATGTTGTTGACAAAGACTTACCATGGTTGAAGATTGTAATTGTCCACAACCACTTCATGTTGAACGAAAGTCTTACAAACCCATTGTTCGGAAAAGGCAAATGCAACATTGTCAGAGCTGTTAACATTCTTTTCGAGAAAGGTTTGTTGGAACCAATTCCAGATGACAAGCTGACAGAAACTTTTGTGTACCAAAAGATGAAACAAACTTTTCATTGTTGGTAAGACCAAAAGTTGTTCCAGACAAAGTTATAGCACAAAAGAAGTACACTGTTCCAAAAGGAGTTGGATTGTTCGGATACCAACCTGAACCAGAAGAACTTCCAATGAGGTTGCAAGAACTTCAAGATGCTATAAACAAACTTCCATTGAGACATCCAATTGACGTCAAATTGTATTGGAGAGCATCTGAGTTAGGTCAGAAGGTTTTATATGAAACAGGTTGCTTCGACGATGTTTATGAGATAACAGGAGAAGTTTCTCAGAAGATAAGAGACTCACTTGAATTTCCACGAACTGGACCCATTGGTTGCGACAAGTTCGACTCAGATGAAAAGATATACTATGTCGACCTTAACGCTGCGTACATGAGGTTCGTCCAATATATCCCGACTGGAATTCCAAACGAAGACGGTGAGTTCCCAGGAAGGAACTATACAGTTGGAAAAGTCATACAACAACTGTATGATATTAGGAAAGCTTCAAACCCCAAACTTGCAATGACACTCAAATTGCTTATGAATTCGACATGGGGATATTCCATTAAGAAACCTCAAGAGATGAAGAGTAAACATTATGAGAAGGTCGACAACTTTGTTGAAAGGTTTTCTCTTTTGTTTTGAAGTACGAATTCATCAAGGTCAAAGTGGCTTAGTAACCACATTAAAACCTATTGTCGAACATTGGTTTACCCTCAGTTCGCAAAGGCAGTCCTTGACAACTACAACAAATTCTTCTCCGAAGTCAAATCCAAAGTGAAGGTTTACTATGAGAACATTGACGCACTCATGACGAACGAAGAAGGCTATAACAAACTCATTGAAATGGGCATGGTCGGTGAAAAGATGGGTCAATTCAAATTGGACAAAATTTTCACCGAAGTTCATGTCCTCTCCAAGCGTAAGTACTGGGCATACTTGAAGACGGCACAGAAATAAAACATTGCATGAAGTAAAAAATTTTTATTCGAATTTGAATCGGACAGGTCGAGTTACACCATTCTTGGTCTCAAACTCATATATAACCTGTTTGTTTGTATTTTCGTCGACTATGACACGAGACACGAACATTGACCAAACGGACAAAAAGTGTCATTTCAGATGGTCCGCAGCCAATCGCATTCGAGCACTTCGAAGAAGCCTTACGTTCAAGGGAGAGGGTGTCTGGTGCAAGGCAGAGGTCATG